ATAGCATTTTTATTCATAACAGCCAAAAACTAGAAACAACCCAGATGGCCTTCATTGGGTGAATGGTTAGACAAAACTGTGGTACATCTATACTGTGGAATACTACACAACAACAAAAAAGAATGAACTATTGATGTATGCAATAACTGAGATGAATCTTAGAAGAAGTATGCTGAGTAAAAAAAGCCAATCCCCAAATGTTACATTCTGTGTAATACAACTTATATAAGATTCTTGAAATTGCAAAATTACAGATGGTGAAGTTGTTGTAAAAGGGCAACATGAAGGATCCTTGTGGTGATATAACTGTTCTGTATATTGACTGTGATGGTGGTCATACAAACCTATATATGTGATAAATTGCATAGAACTCTTTCCCCTTCCCTTCTGCCCTGGTAATCACCATTAAACTTTGATCTCTATATATTTGTCTATTCTAAGTATACCATATTAGTGAAATCCTACAATATTTGTCTGTTTGTGATTAACTTATTTCACTCAGCATAATTTTTCAAGGTTCATCCATGTTGTGGCATGTATCAGGATTTCATTTCTCCCATAGTAGAATAATATTCCATTGTGTATATATACCACATTTTGTTTATCCATTCATCTGCTGATGGGCATTTGGGTCATTTCTACCTTTTGGCTATTGTGAATAGTGCTGCAACGATTGAATTTATGTTAATGGGGATGGAAAATATTGCAATTAAATTTGGTGGTGGCTGTACAACATGATCGATGTAATTGGTTTCATTGAACTGCACAAGTGAAAAATGTTGAAGTGGCAAATGTTTTGTTACCTATATCTTTACAACAATTAAAGAAAGATAAAAAGCTTGCATAGAACTAAATGCACACATACACACACAAATGGGTATACATATAACTGCCGAAATCTAAATAACAGAGGTGGATTGTATAAATGTCAGTTTCCTAGTTGGGATAAAAAAACCAAACCTGTTGCCTTCAAGTTGATTCCAACTCATAGCAACCCTATAGGGATAGTATACTATAATTATGCAAGATGTTACCATTGGGGGATATTGGGCAAAGGATACACAGAATCACTCTATATTATTTCTTACAATTACTTGTGAATCTGTAATTATCTAAAAAAAAAAGCTTAATTTTTTTTAAATGGGTCAAAAATTTAAATAGACGTTTTACCAAAGAAGATATACAAGTAGACAACAAGCTCATGAAAAGATGCTCAACATCAGCAGTCAACAAGGAAACGCAAAAGAAAACCACAATATGATACCACTTCACACTCACAATAATAGCTATAATAAAAAAGACAGACAATAACAAGTGTTGGCAAGGATATGGAGAAAACAGAACCTGCATACATTCCTGATGGGAATGTAAACTTATGGAGCCACTATGGAAAACAGCTTGGCAGCTTCCTAATAAATTCAATATAAATTATCATATGACCCAGCAATTCTACTTATAGGTATCTACCCAGGAAAAATGAAAACATATGGCTACACAAAGACACATATATAAACGTTCACAACAGCATTATTCATAAAATCCAAAAGGTGAGAACAACCCAAAAGTCCATCAACTGGTGAATGGGTAAATAACATGGATTATGTCCCTATAATAATACTACTGTATTCATTAATTAAAAGAATGAAGTATGCATAATGCTACAACATAGACAAACCTCAAAAACATTATGCTAAGTGAAAGAAGTTAGAAACAAAAGACCACATATTGTACGATCTAATTTATTTTAAATGTCCAGAAAAAAAAATCTGTAGACATAAAACAGAACAACGGTTGCCTGGGGCTGGGGGTGAGAACGGAGAGTGACTGCAAAGGGGCAGGAAGTTTCTTTTGCGGGTGATGGAAATGTTTTAAAATTTGTTTGTGGTGATAGTTTCACAATGCTGTAAATTTACTAAAATCAATTAATTGTATGCTTTAATAAACAAATAAAGCTATTTTTTAAAAGTTACCATTCTTTTCAGCTGTTTGAAGGTTGAAACCCTCTCAGATCATTAAACTTGTATACCTCATGCCTCAGGGTCCCCATACATCAGATGGGCGAATTACCCTGTGCCCTGATTAGCACAATAGACAGAACGTTATATGGCCTGCTTTCTTCTCCATCCTTGCCTAGCTTTACTATTCTCAATAGTTGCTACAGTATTATTTAGAAACCCTGACATTTCTCATGTTTACAGACAATGGATAAACAAAATCATGTTTTGCTCGGCTGTCTCAATTCCGAATTCCCCTATAGTTCAGCAAAACAAATTACCTCTGGAATCAAACATGCCTTTTCAGCATGATGTATATGCAGGAAAACAGACGTGCAGGTTTGACTCTACTTGAGAGTTTCTCCAAGCACAGCACTTCCTTGAACTGCTCTGTCTTTTTGACAGGGACCTCTTTCCATATTGACAGTGAAATGTCCCCGTCTCCTTCCTCCCTCCCTACCCGACAGCTATCATTTCTTCACTTTTACCATGGCTACGGTACCTCATTTGTGCTTGTCCCAAAGTCACTTCCTACTGCTTTCCCTTTCTCTCTTTCAAATAGCCCTTCCTAGCCTAATCCTGGAAACCCTGGTGGCATAGTGGTTAACAGCTATGGATGCTAATCAAAAGGTTGGCAGTTCAAATCCACCAGGCGCTCCTTGGAAACCCTACGGGGCAGTTCTACTCTGTCCAACAGGGTCGCTGTGAGTCGGAATCAACTCGAAGGCAACGAGTTTGGCTTTTTTTTTTTTTTAGCCTAATCCTGAGTGGTGAAAACAAGTTACTATTTAATAATAAAGAAAATAATTCCCTCTAGACATCGACTTAGTAGACCTTTATGGATAATATGTTTGGAAAATTTTTAGCATCGTCTATGTTTTTTTTTCTTCTTGAAAGAAAAGAACCTGTGCAGAACACTGAATTTAACCTTAAGTCAAAGGTTTTTCACTCCCTTAATTGGCATATGGCATCTTACTTATTAACACTCGAGTATAAAAATTATATATGTCTTGCCAGAGGCTATTATGAAATATTTTAATGTTTCTATCATTTATCATAATTTCTGGCTAGTAGATAAAGTTTTCTATACTACTAAAGGAGTCCTGGTGGCACAGTGGTTAAGAGCTCAGCTGCTAACCAAAAAGGTCAGCAGTGTCAATCCTCCAGCCTCTCTTTGGAAATCATGGGACAGTTCTACTCTGTCCTATAGGGCTGCTGTGAGTCGGAATCCACTTAATGGCAATGGGTTTGGTTTTTTGGTTTTTATACTACAAAAAGCTAGTTTTGTTGCTTATTAATAATGTTACAACTTACGTTCAAAGTCCACCTAATCAAGCTTTTGAATACAATGAGAATTTTTTCACTTTAACAACCCAAACTTCTTGATCATGATGATGGTTTGAACATAAAAGAACCAGTTTTTTCCTCCCTCATAAACCCTAAATACTTTGTTTATACCACTACACTGCTGATGTAATCCTCATCCTAAATTAAAGTGTGGCTATGTCTGTCTCCCCAGTTTCACCATCTGATTGGGATGTAGCTGTAGTGCAGCAGAAAGAGCAGTGAAACTGTTATTAGAATACCTGGATTACAGTATTTGTTCTGTTACTGAGCAGCTGTGTTACTTTGCTGTCTCAATGATCCCTAAATCATGACATGGATTTTTGTGCTTATGCCAAGTATGAAACAGTTTGTGACATTATTTGGAATCCCAAAATATGTGATCTTCACATTTCAGTGAGCGTGGAAAAGAAAGGATAATATATTTGAAACAGAAAATTTGAGGCAAAACTCTATCATAGACCTGAATAAGTTACTTAAACTTCCTGAGACTCAATTTTCTCATCCATAAAACAGATAATTGACACCTACCTCACAGGATTGTTTAAGGGTTTACTGAGATAGAGTATGTGAAGGAATCTAGCTAGTGTCTGGAAAATGGATGATGTTAATTGATGTTTCCATAGTTTGGAATGCTCCCTCCATCTCCTCCATCCCCCTAAAAAACCTCCAAAAAGCAAATGTGCATATTCTGATTTATATATCAAGAAACAGTCCAAAAGGCACCACTCTGCAAAGCGTTTCCTAACAACTTCAGGAGTACAGCCCCTTGGTTAAGAGTACTGGGCTTCTGGAATCAGAAGACACCCCTGGGTTTAAAACCAGGTCTGCCATTTAGTAGTGCCCTGACCTTGGACAAACACTTATCCTCTCTGCATCTAAGTTTCCCATCTGTAAAATGAGATCATCATGGTACATAATGAGACATGCACATAGAACACTAAGCACAGTCCCTGACAGTAAATCCTTCATAAATATTACATAGAAGTAGTAAGAGAAAGCCTCCTCTTCAGTAAAATGTTAATAAAAATGCTTACTCTGCCTCCCAGGTTTGTGACAAAATTCTGATGCAACAGTCTTTTAAACTATAATGCTTAACAAAAGTGAAGGATTGGTATATAACTTGATATATGTTGGGTTAAATTATAATTTCACTTTTATAGGATATACTTTCCCTCATCTGCCTGCACTAGGGTAATGTTGTTGTTAGGTGCCGTCGAGTGGGTTCTGACTCAAAGTGACCCTATGTACAACAGAACAAAACACTGCGCCATGCTCACAATCTTTACGCTTGAGCCCATTGTTGCAGCCACTGTGTCAATCCATCTCCTTGAGGGTCTTCCTCTTTTCCGCTGACCCTGTACTTTATACCAAGCACGATGTCCTTCTTCAGGGACTGATCCCCCCTAACAACATGTCCAAAGTAATAATACACAGCGTTAATCAGTAGGAAATAAAACCTGAAGATACGTCCTCTGGATACAAGTACCAGAAGCCCAAAGAGCAGTATTAAGAGCAGCACCCGCAGACCGGACCTCGATAATTCCCTGGAGTCCACCTCTAACACCCACCCCCGCTTGGAGCCGCGCAAGCGTACACTGAATTCGCTCCTCTCTCCCAGTGCCCCCGCCTCCAACTGCCCCCCTCCTGCACCGTTTCCCCCAACACGCACGCGCGTCTTCTCAAATCCTGTTCCTAACCACCCTCCTCTTTCCTTTTCTTTTGTTCCCCCTCCTCTTCCAGTACCTCAGCAGGTTCAAACTCTTTTCCGTGAGGGTGGCGGCAATCGCGAGGTCACGTGATGAGCATCCTGCTGCCCAACATGGCGGAGTTCGACACCATCTCTGAACTGGAGGAGGAGGAGGAGGAAGAAGCCGCAACGTCGTCGTCGTCGCCGTCGTCGTCGTCGTCGGTTTCGGGGCCCGACGACGACGAGGAAGATGAGGAGGAGGAGGAAGAAGAGGAGGAGGAGGCGCCGCCCCCGCCTCGGGTAGTGAGCGAGGAGCATCTGCGAAGATATGCCCCAGACCCTGTATTGGTTCGCGGCGCCGGCCACATCACTGTGTAAGCGAGAGAGGGCTGTGGGGTAGGAAAAGGCTGAGATTTGCAGAAAGAGAAATGAGAAGGTGATAGAGGGGCCTGTGGAGTGGGGGGAGGGCCGGCTGAAGCGTACAGCTAGGAAAGGACACCTAGTCTAAATGGTGAAACCGAGGGGATAGGTGGATAGGAAGTGAGGAAAGTGTAAATATGATGCACCACAGGAGTGAGTGTAGGAGAGGGAAGTTAGGGGTTTCGGAGCCAGTGGAATTGGGGTAGGGGTGAGTCTCCTTTCTTCTGTGTATCCTGGCAAGTGAATGATCTTTAAACTGCGGGATGTACCAGTAGGATCTGTGCTGCTAAGATTCGTGTCTAGTGGAACACACACGGTGACTGCTGTGACATGTGACAAGACAGGCTTTTGTTCTTCAAAAGAGAAAAATGATATATTTGTGAATAATATGATAGTGTATCCACCGTTATTCATTCATCCATTCTTTCTATCTAATCCATATAGTAATGAGTACAGTAATCGTTTATCTTAATCACTCCTCACTCTGACATTCCTTAAATATCACACCATTAGAGGTTCAGTTTAAGAGGCATCTATGGAAAGTAGAAAGCAATGGATCGGGAGTCAGGTCTCTTGAATGCTAGTCCCAGCGTTGCTTCTTACTGGCCCTGTGACCTTGGTCAGGTTACTTCTCATTTCTGGACGTTGATTTCTCCATCTGTACATGAGGGATTTGGAGTAGATGGTTTCTAAGGCCTTTCCAGTTCTAAGATAATTCTGAGATAGCTTGAGTGGAGTTTATAGCCACAAATAATAAATATGCAGTCATTTAATAGATATGGAAAGTAGTCCCAGGTGAGCTGAGGAATATTTCTTGAAAACTTATCCAGGGTAGTTTTTTTTTTCTTTTTTTTTTAAATCGAAATCTTGGATCATATTTGAGAAAATAAAAGGGGGAGGGACTTCATAACATAATTGCAAAGCCAAAAATATTTGAATAATTCTCTGGGCTTTCAAGAGTGCTTCCTCATTTTTTATGTGCTTGGACTGTAAATACTTGGAAGTTTGAGTATTGTGTTATGTTTATCTTCTCATCTATGCTATCTTTTACTGCATTTTCAAAATAGGCCTTTTTTTCTATCAAGTCATGCTGCCTCTAATTTTGATAATGGTTCACCTACCTCTTGACTTTCAATTGCGTTCATATTATATGAAATCGTATATTATAATATGCACCACCTCCCCTCACTGTGTTAGCTTTTAATTTTTACATGTTGAAGATTTTAACTGTAATGTAATTTTGTGTGTGTGAAATGTATTAACAAAGATTTTGAAATTGTGGAAGGGCTTGGGGGGGCTTTTAGGCCTGCTTTTTGACTAGGAAATTTTAACAAAATTTTTCTTTGTTCAGGAATTTTACAGATAGCCTACAACATTCAGATGCCAGATTTCTGAACTATCTTACTTCCTTTCTTTTCATCACTCAGGAGACAATTTGTTACTCAAATTAATTATGATTCTGGCACCAGAGGTTACTTTTATATAGATTTTTCCACATGACTGAACAGAAAAAAGGTTTCTTATTCCAGTTCATAATTTTATACTCCAGCACTTCTAAAACCCCTTAATATTTTCTAAAATTCAGACAATGGAGAAGGAGCAAGGAAACAGTATTTAACTTCCCTGAAACTTATTTGTGGTTCCATTCCACTCTCCATACAACCATAGTGAAGTAGTTAACAAACCTATTTTCTTCATTAGTAGCAAAGCACTGACATTTGCCACACCCAGACCCCTGTGATAGGTGTAGTCTCTCCCAGCTTAAGAATTCTGAAGTAATGGTGCTAGTAGTAACTGTTGGTATTAATTGACTGAAGCCAAAACCTGAAAAGTAACAGACCAATACTTGTATATAGTGTATATAGTTTGAAAACTTATTTAGTTATACTGTATACATTCTGTCACCTGGAAAACATATTTGATATGTAATGTCTGGGATTTGAAAAAAGGTTACATGTTTCGGAGAAAGTTTTACTGGATCTGAGACACTGGTCTTCATATGGTAGTCAAACCTTCATTTTATCAGGTAAAATAAAATTCTTAGGAAATATTTAATCTTATCCTGAGATGTCTAAAATACCAACTTCTATTTAATTTTCTTCTGGTGTGGGAGTGTTAAGAGTTGCCCTAAATTATATTCCCTATCTCAAAGAAATATTTATTCTCACCCAACCCTTAATTTTTTCCATTCTCTGTACAGTCTTCTATTCTGTAGAGGACTTTGTTTCTTTTAAAAGTTTAAAATTTCAGAGCCATACCCCAAATCAGTATATCTTAAACCCAACATTTTTCCCTCTCCACACTGGCTATGCTTTCCAGTTGCCTCATTTCTGACACTGGTACCACCATTTTTATCCCCCAGGTTAATATTTAAAATCCTTTAGTCATTTTAATTCTTTCTTCTGGAATTGCCCTATACTAGTTTATCCCAGAATTATGTCATCATGCCTTTTGAAATGTAACTTAGATTTTTAGTTTTCTCTATTCCTACACTAGCTTGAGTTTCCATCATCTCCTGCTTAAATTATTGCCACAGTCTGCAGCCTCTCCCCACTCCAATCCATCCTGCATGCTTGAGCCAAACTAATCTTCTTAAAGCACAGTTTAATCATGTCATTCTCCTTCTGAAAAAAGCCCGCATTGGATCTTAATTAGGTCTGAATTCCTGTGCTTACTTCCTACAGCCTCAGAGCTTAAGGAGTCTCTCCACTTGTCCAAAGCTAACCACATATGCCTTCCATGCCGTTCACTTCCAGCCTCTTCCCTAATCTTGATCCATCAGGCAGCCCCTGTCTCTCCAGTATTACTTTTCTCTGCCTCTCAACTAGCTCATCCTGTAAACCTGCTCGAGTCTCTCCCATTCTTTAAAAACAAAATAAAACAAAAGCCTTCCTTGACCCATATCTAATCTTTCTTCTTTCCTTCACCTCCAAATTTCTTTAGAGAAGCTACATTTACCATGTCTACTTCCTCTTCACCCCTAGCTGACTGCTGGGCTTCTTCACCTGATGGCGCTTCATCATCTTAAATTCAGCTTGTTCAAAATAGCATTCATCCCCACACATCCCCTCACACCCTCACCCCAACCCCTCAAAAAACAAACAAACAAAACCTCTCTTATTTCTGTATTCTCCATCTGTATTCTACAAATTCAGTTGAATGTATCCCCGCCTTTCCCATTACCCATTCTTGGTTTCTATTTCCCCACTCACTTCCCACAGCTAAGCAAGTGTTAACAATATACGATCTAAATATTTCTTCTTTTTCTCCATACCACCACTTCCCTGATTCAGACTCTTTTCACCACCCTGACTAGTCATCCAGCCTTTGTCCTTGTCACCCTCACATCTGTCTTCCAGCCTGCTGCTAGATTGAGACTCCAAAAGTGCAGATCTAACCAAACCACTTCTCTGCTGAAGATTATTCTGTGTCTTTCCGTCCACCAACAAGGTAGAGTCTAAGGTCCATAACATGACGTACAGAACGCTCATGTTCATGGACCATGTCTGTATATCAGCCTAATTTGTCATTCCCCTTATTGCTTGTATTTCTTTGTTCATAGCATGCTGTTTGTTATTTCTTTGCCTCTGCTCGAGCTGGGGCCTTCATCTAGAATGCTAGCACCCACCTCCCAGTGCCCCCAACTATCCATATGTTACTACCTCTTGCAAGTTTTCTCTGCTGGCACTAAATTGTAACCTTCAGTAGCAGCAACAGTGTATGGTTCCCTATGAATCCTCAGGGCCTAGCACGGTGCCTGGGAGGAAGTAGACACTCAGTAAAACTAAGTTTAATGACTTGGTTTACTCTAGTAACACTCAGTATGTCCACCATAGTGCAAGCTGTCTTACAAGCCCTCAACAAGTACTAGTTAGTCAAATCACGCTGTGCAGAGTACTTGTTTCTGAGCATAGATGTGTACTGATTCAGTATTATCACCAGTCCCAGTGATGGGGAGTATGGCATGGCCTTACTTCTGAAATCTTTGTTAAGCTTGCCCCTATATGTCAGAGTACCCCTGTCTACTTCTATCATCTTAACATTTGGCATTCTAGAGTCTTTAACAAAATATTAATATTTTAGCATGCAATTCATTGCAATAATTTCTCAAGAAGTTGAATAATCTAACCATTCCAATGGTTAGATACATATCGTGAAGAATTCAAATTGTGATTTCATTTCTGAGACAATGATCATATGGTTATTGTGGGGTCTTTTTCCACATTGAAAAAAATGTGACTAAATTAACTCCCATGAATTTTAGGTTATAGAAACAGAAATAATGAAACGTCTTTTGGAAATATAAGGTGTTTCAGAAACACATACGAGTGATGTAACTTAGTATCTATAACTTTTTTTCTTGTTTTTTGGGAGGATAAATATTTAGATCCAGTGTATTGAAATATAAGGAAAATTACATCTTATGAGTTTTTTTCTTATTTATAGTAATGATCACACTCTTTGTATTATTTAAAATATACAGCTATTTACCCTTGATAATAGACCTGTACAGAAGTTAGCAGATATGATAGATTACCAGTTCTTAGAAATTTATAAAATTGGCATATTAAAATTAATATAAAAGAGCTGAAGTTGTTAGATACAGAATTAAAGAAGAGGAACAAATTTGCCAAACAGTGTGTCTTAGTCATCTAGTGCTGGTATAACAGAAATACCGCAAGTGGATGGCTTTTAACAAGAGAAATTTATTCTCTCGTAGTCCAGTAGGCTACAAGTCGGAATTCAGGGCATCATCTTCAGGAGAAGGCTTTCTCTCTCTGTCAGCTCTGGAGGAAACTCCTTGTGATTCATCAGTCTTCGCTTGGTCTGGGAACATCTCAGTGCAGGAACCTCAGGTCCAAAGGAAGCACTCTGCTCCTGGCACTGCTTTCTTGGTGGTGTGAGCTTCCTTTGTGTCTCTGCTTGCTTCTCTCTTTTGTATCTCAAAAGAGAT